GCGTCAGTGCGCGCCCAGGATCCGAACCCGGGCCGCCAGCAGCAGAGCGTGCACACTTAACCGCTAAGCCACGGGGCCGGCCCATTACCATGCTGTTTTGATTACTGTAGCTTTGTAGGATATTTTGAAGTCAGGGATTGTGATGCTTCCAGCTTTGTTCTTTTTTCTCAGGATCGCTTTGGCTATTTGGGGTCTTTTGTCGTTCCATAGAAATTTTAGGATTCTTCGTTCTCTTTCCATGAAGAATGTCATTGGGATTCTGATTGGGATTGCATTGAATCTGTAGATTGCTGTAGGTTGTATGGGCATTTTGGCTATGTTTATTCTTTAATCCGTGAGCATGGAATATCTTTCCATTTCTTTATGTTGTCTTCAATTTTTTTCAATAATGTCTTATAGTTTTCAGTGTATAGGTCTTTCACCTTGTTGGTTAAGCTCATTCCTAGATATTTTATTCTTTTTGTTGAGATTGTAAATGGGATTATATTCTTTTTTTTATTGATGTCATAATAGTTTATAACATTGTGAAATTTTAGTTGTACATTATTGTTTGTCAGTCACCATATAAAGGCACCGCTTCCCCCCTTGTGCCCACCCCCACTACTCTCTTGCGCCTGGTAACCACCAAACTGTTTTCTCTGTCCGTGTGTTAGTTTATATTCCACATATGAGTGAAGTCATACAGTGTTTGTCTTTGTCTCTCTAGCTTATTTCACTTAACATAATACCCTCCAGGTCCATCCATGTTGCTGCAAATGGGACAATTTTGTCTTTTATGGCTGAGTAGTATTCCATGGTATATATATATACCACATCTTCTTGATCCAATCATTAGTCGAGGAACACTTGGGTTGCTTCCATGTCTTGGCTATAGTAAATAATGCTGCAATGAACATGGGGGTGCATAAGCCTCTTTGGATTGTTGATTTCAGGTTCGTTGGGTAGATACCCAGTAGTGGGATAGCTGGATCATAAGGTATGTCTATTTTCAGTTTTTTGAGGAATCTCCATACTGTTTTCCCTAGAGGCTACACCAGTTTGCGTTCCCACCAGCAATGAGTGAGGTTCCCTTTTCTCCACATCCTCTCCAGCATTTGTTGTTTTTTTTGTCTTGGTGATTATAGCCATTCTAACTGGTGTAA